TACGCAATTACGACGTTTGTCCACTCCATGTTATTATAAACCAAGTGTGGCATGGTTTTTAGGCCTTGTGTGATAGCCGAAGTTTAATAAGGCCCACCATTTCAAAATGTGACCTGGTCATCGGCAAGTTGATAACTCCTGTAGTCCTGTTCATCTACTATTCATTGATGATACGACAAAAAAACAAAAAACCAATTATTGAACATAATCTGATATCTTCATCGGACATCTAAGATGTCATTCAATGAAGATGTGCAGTCCTTTCTGTTTTTTTTTTTGGTTGTCGCTGTATGCTATCAGCAAAAAAAGAAGACATATTTGGTTTCAGTGTAAGTTTGAGTATTTTGGTTCGATGCATGTGTTTGGTACATGTAAGATTTCAATCATGGACATCCAAGACTTTTCTTCCCACCGTCCAATTTCAGTAATTGTTTAAGGAGAAATGTTTTTTTTTATGTTACATAAATTTTTTTATCTCATGTAACACTTGTCGAAAATCGAGCCAATATTTCTTTTTTTTAGAATTGAGATCCACCTAATTATGTCTCTATGTGAGACCAAAGACGGATCTAAGTATTAGAGAATGGTGACAAGTGTCCACCCTTAAAATATGATGTAAAAATATGAAAATACTCTTATCTTAAAATTCAAATTTTTTCAATTTAATTTTGGGTAGATATTATAACAACCAATTAGGGTTACTACCAATCAATTTCATCGTTAGATCAATTATGTTGATCCAACAGTTATATTTATTTTCGTCTTTATATAATTATGATTCTCCATATTTAATACTTTATATTTATTTTCACCTTTGTATGATTATAATTTCTCATATTTAATGCTTTTACATTAAATATGGAGATCATAACCATACAAAGATGAAAATAAATATAATATTTGATCAACAGAATCGATCTAACGGTAGAATTGATTGGTAGTAACATTTGTAGTAACCCTAGTTGGTAGTTACGATATCCTACCCCTTTAATTTTCCTCATTTTATTTTATTTTTCCGTGAGTTTTTTTTCTCCTCCACCTTCATTATTCAAACCTAACCGCAGAGAGCTCTATTCCAGACACATCGTTTGCATATACATACTGATTCATCTCCTCTCAAATCTCAATCTCCGTTATTGGAAGTTAGAACATTTGCTTCTTCCTCTATCATTGATCCAGTTGAGTCGCAATCCGTCCAGATCTAGATCTAAACCAGACCTAGTTAGTCGGCAGCTGCTCACAAGTCGCGTTCAATACCAGACCCAAATCTATATGTACTTGAAATTATTAAGTGTCCACCCTTCAATAATTTTCTGAATCCGCCACTGTGTGAGACAATGTTAACTCATGTAATATGAAAAAAACATGGCCCTTGTTTAATATGCTATAACCCTCACCTACCACTTGAAGAAAAAAGAAGAAGAAGAGAATTTTGTATCCCCAAGTGTGAAGCCTATTATTTCTTAGGAAAAATATTTTTTCATATTATTACAGATATTTTATCTTATGTCATAAAAATAAATATGTGGAATTCATTTTTTATATTAAAAATAAAAATAAAACTAAAAAGACCCACATATTTATCTTTATAATAGGAGACAAGATCCCCCGCCATTCCTTTGCCAATTTCACCTAAGATTCGATCCATTTGCCCATGTAAACTAGTCAGAAAGTAGTAATGGAGGTTTGTTTTTCGAATAGGGTGAAATATGTTTATTTGATGATGATGATAAAGGAAATAGTAGTATACACTAAAGTTCTTGAGAACCATCGTACTGCTTCAGCTAAGTTAGCTGAGACTGAAAGAGGTAGGTGTGTTGAACTCGATTATGGCCATAATGGGAATTTGGCATAATAATAACAAGTTTAGGAGAAAATATTCAGCGCTCCAGGAATTTGACATGATAATAACAAGTTTAGGAAAAAATATTCAATACTCCGGACTCACATGTACCAGAAGGGAAGAGATGAGAGAAAAGAAAAAAGAGATAGAGAAATATAAAGGCCAGACCACCATTTTTCCCAAATTTAGATGACGAAGAAGATGATCCATTGGTGAAGTTAAACCCTATAAGGAATATTCCCTCTTAGCGTGCAAAGTATAATTTGGCATTTGATAGGGGGTATTTTGTAAGATTTTCGGAAAACTGAATTTTTCTAAATTTTTAATTTTTGAATATTATCGTAAACTGAATGTTTTTATCATATTTCTAAAAATTGAGATTTTCGAATAATTTTTTTTTTCCCTCTACCAAACGTGCATACTCCAGGCAGCCATTGTGCTAGCTGGGCAAAGTTATTTGGCCGGTCCAAAACACCGTCGAATCACTAAGATATTAGACACCTCGATATCGTAAATCCTCGTTCACTGCTTCACTTGAAATAAATAAAAAAATACCAATTTACCAAGCACCTATTATACTTTCGATCAGCATCTCATGCTGCTAGAAATTACATCAACCATTCAAATCTAGTCTTCCTTACCGCTCGTGGCATGTAGCCGTTTAAAGAAAAATTTGTCATATGATGTTCAATGAATCAACAGCATCAACTTGGCTGAAAGAAAAATAGTTAAACTGCCACACAAATCCCCCTTCCATACGTGGATGTTGTCTTGTTTTATTTTGTCACAAACAAAAGCAACTGCCACACGACAATGTGCAGTATACTGCAGCAAATTAATCACTCGGATAGATATGGTACAAGGACAACCTTGCTCCCGCTCATTAAGAAATAAATGCAAAACTAAACGTAGCAATCAACAGCCATGCGTCCATCGCATAATAAATAAGGCAGTGTTTGGTTCGGGACATATCAAAATAATCCCATCTAAGTGTAAGTGGGTTTCCTAAAATACCACGTTTGGTTGAGGACAGCGTTTCCCTTATCCATAATTCCTCCTTGCCCAGCCATCGAGATCAAAGTGAAAAATGGATGAAAATCACGGATTCACTTGCCCTCTCCCACCATGGTATTGTTGAGAAATCCGTTTTGATGGAAAGTGAAGATGAAAAATAAGACAAGTTTACCCCTGTTAATCCCAGCTGTACCCCAAATTCGAACACCAGTTTGACTTCGATTCACTTGAGTCTGCCTGTGGGTGGTGGTTCTGCTGTTAATTGGGCTGCATCTATTAGAACACCAAATTGTGTGCTTAAGGAATGGGCAGAGGACCACAAGCTATCACTCTTTTCAGGCTATGAATATCTTTCTGCCATGGACATGGTGTGTAAAAGGATTGGTGTAACAGATAAATGTGTGGAGGAAGGGCTCCAAAATCAAGTTCTCCGAAAAGGTTGTAAGAATCTTGGTCTTCAAGTTGATTATGTGCCTAGAAATTCATCAGAACATCATTACTGTGGGTCTTGCAACTATGGTTGTAGAAGAGGAGATAAAAAAGGGACTGAAGTTACATGGCTTGTCGATGCTGTGGATCATGGTGTAGTAATTCTAACAGGATGCATATGCATAGCTGACAAGTTTTTTTAAAAGGATAGTTTTGTAATTTTATTAAGTTTTCCCATCAATATTTTATCTTCAACCAAACACACATTCAGAAATTTAATTCAATTTTCCTGGTAAAATTTTGTCCAACCAAACAACTTTTTTAAAACTTTCCTATCTAACTCACTTTTTCTGCAGATCTCTAGTATTTACATTTTCCCAGTATTAAAAAATTTCACCTCAACCAAACACTACCTAAGAGACAAATGAAGGTTGGCAATGAATATTTTCTGTCCAATCAATGCTGCTACACTAATAACTATAGATAAACACACAACAATACACATCCACCCTTGCGCCTCACCAACAACCATGCAATTAGGACAAGCTGATCTGAAACAAACTGTATTTAGCTTTAAGGTTTTCTGTGCATAAAATTTGCAGGGATTTTTTCGTTTTATTTTTTATGGGGTAGATTTCCGGATATATTTTTATTCCACAAATTTTGGATTCCTTCTGCACAATTCTAAAATTCATAAGATTTCACCATGTTATCAAATAAAATTTAAAGTTGTGGAGGGAAATTAAAGGAAAGGAAGTAGCTCTGTTGATTGACTTTGGTGCCTGAAACAATTTCATAACCGATGAGGTTGTGAAAGAGCTAGAAACTACCCATGTCCAATACCCAAGCTTGTTTTGTAGAAGTGGGAGGAGGGCATAGAATCAAATGTAAAGGAGTATCCAGAGATGCTGACAAAGATGCAAGGGGGTACATCATTCCTAATTTCTTTTTATTTGACCTTAGAGGATCAGATGTGGTGCTTGGTTTAGATTCATTGGAGGAACTTGGAGATATTGGAGCAAATTTCAAAAGGGTTGACTCTGAAGTTGGAAATAGCCGGTAAAGTAATTAATTCCAAAGTGGAACTCTTGAAAGCTGTCTTGAAAGCTTTGAGGGACAACAGACAAGGAATTTATGTGCAATGTAAGTCCAAGAAGATGGGTCAGCTAAACAACAATCAATCATGAAAATTTTAAGGTTCTAAATTGCCGGAGCTATCTGTGTACTATTATGTTTTTGTTCATCTATCTAAAACAATTTAGACCCCTTGTCAATCATATTCCTCTGATATCAGTACAGCAAATGAAATATAACTCAAATTGTTCCATCTTTCTTATAATTCTGATCTAGTTTCCTATCATAAAACAATAAAGCATCCAATTATATTGACTTGTATATATTTGGTAACACTAATACTCTATGATAAAACCCAGACCCACTGATAAATCATTGTTTCATTTTACAACAGTTTATATACTTATATCCATTTGCTGAAAAATAAATTTTTCTAAACAAAAGAATAAAACGTATGAAATTGCTTTTTAAAATCAATCATATCACAATTTGCAGTCAAGCAATTATCATCCTTAAAATATCTTGCATGATGAGATACGAAAATTGTCTCCATGGACGCCCAGAAAAGGCGTGAAACAAGATTAGTCCATACTAACGACCAAGCAGTATGCAATATAAATTAGAAATAAACATGTCTGGATTAAATTTTATAAAATTGGCGAGCATTTCCTCCTCAAAATAATAATTTAAAATCCAAAAGAAGTCGCTAACATAAGGAGGCTAACAAAATTTAAGTGCACAAATATTACATAGCCACCTAGGGGTCATCATCATTAAGATCACCTTTATCCCAAAATAGTTATTTTGGGTTCATCTAGGAGTATAAAGCAAAAATGCAATTTATCCTACATCTTTACTGCTACCTTTTCAGCCGAACTTTTCTTCATAAATCCTCTGGAGCACAACTCATTCAACAAATCCAAAGCCTCCTCAGCTAATCCTTCATTAGCAATGCCTTCTATAAGAATGGTATAAGTAGCTTCAGTAGGTTTGCATCCTTTTGCTATCATATGATCCAGAAAATCAATGGCATGACTAGTTTGCTGAGACTTACAGAGTCCGAACATGATTGAGTTGTAAGCGACAGCATTGGGCCTAATACCTAATCCTTCCAAGTCATGGAAAATTTTGAGAGCCTCATCAACCTTTCCTTCACGACTAAGTCCCCCAAGCAGTGAAGAGTACGTAATTATATCAGGTTTAAGACCCTTTCTGCACATCTCTTCCAAGAGTTCCACAGCGCACTCTGTTTTTCCTGTCTTTGAAAGCCCAGCAATAACTGTATTATAAGTAATTAAAACAGGAGAGCAGCCCTTGCTATTTAGTTGATTCAGTATCTCAACTGCAACATCCACCTTCCCATCTTTGCATAGTGCTGTAAGCAAAGTATTATAGGTCACTATATCCGGGTAACAACCCCTAGATACCATTATTTCCAAATACTCAATTGCTCTATCCATCTTTTTTTCTTGACAAAACCCATGAAGCAATGGATTGTAACTCAAGGAATTCGGAGTACAACCGTGCTTTGGCATCTTCTCCAAGATATTGATGGCTCTACCCAGTAAGCCTTTCCGGCACAAGAAGTTAATCAAGATATTGAAAGTAACAACACTAGGGGAACAACCCTTACGAAGCATGTCACTTAGTAGCTTCTCAGCATCCATCCATCTTCCAGTGCTACACATGGTTCGCAAAATAATATTATGGGTAATCACATTAGGTTGACAACCATAGGATGGCATGTTATTTAAAAATTTAATTGCTTCATCCAACCTACCTTCCTTGCAAATACCATTGATAAGAACATTGAAAGTAACCACATCAGGTTTGCATCCTTTGCTCCTCATCTCATCTAACAGCTTCATTGCCTGACCAACTCCACTTTCCTTACAAGTTGCTTCAATCAATATAGTGTAAGTAATTACATCAGGATAACACTCCCTTTGCAGCTGCCTGTCAAGGACTTCCATCGCTTGGTTCAATTTCCCACTATCACACAAACTACGCAAAATCGTATTATAAGTAACAACATCTGGAGCAACACTCATGCGTTCCAAAAGCTCCAATGCTTTATTTATCTCCCCTGATTTGCAATAACCACCAATCAAAACATTGTAAGTTATCAAATCAGGAACAGCACCAGAATCCTCCAAAATCTCCATGATTCTTGTTGCCTTCTTAGTCATGCCAGCCCTACAAAACCCGCGAATCAAGCCGGTGCAAGCAATGACATCAGGGATATTACCTAGGTAAATCATGCGCTCCAGAAGCATAAACCCTTCCTCCAATTGCCCATTTCTAACCAACTTGCGGAGATGATAATTACTCTCAAACTCATCCATATTCCGGGAATCGTTGACCCCATTTGTCGACGATTCCATGCCATTCCAATCCCTGTTTGGGGTTCTTCCAAAATGTTGCAATTTACCATTACCATTCAAACCAGAAGTTTCGAACTTCGAAACGGCAAAAACGCGATTGCCCAAATACTTTTTGGACCTAGAGCCCTTCAGTTTTCTAAACTGACTAACACTATCAGCAGATAGAACGAAAGGCCGAGGTACAGTGTTATCCAAAACCCTACCTTTGAAACTGCATGTTCTTGCGCCACCTCTATTAAAGTGGTGAAATGAGCAAAACTGTTCATGGGGTGCCACCAAATCCATTGCTTTTACCAAACTTGCAACACTTAATGGTTACTACTCAAACCCTCCTCATGCTATAAAATATAAGATATGGTAGAAAAGTAAAAAAGAATAAATAAGAACCGTTTTCACCTCCAAGTTGAGGGGTTCCACGAAGAAGGTTAGAAGGCGCAGTGACTGATATTTTCAGGGGAGTGAGAGAGAGAAAGGTGAGTCAGGTAACAAGTAGCTTAGGTTTTTCAGGACAAGGAAATGAGGTGCTTATCCGAGACCGGTTGTTTCTCGTTTGTGCAGAACGAGAGGTTTTCTTTTTATTTTTTTTGGTCATCAGAAAATGGGTGGATTGGGCTTAAAAATTTTGTATGCTCTCCTTATCATACATTAGTAGGTTTGTCATAGAATGATTCCATTGGCCCAACAAAGAAAAAGTATAATCTAACCGAAGTCATGGGCTTCAATAGCGCAGTTAAGCTCTTGTTGTTGGTGGCATTTTTCTTTGGTAAATGTTGATGGTTCCTTAAATGAGTAGCGAATAACATGATGAGGTCAAATTAAAAATTTTAAAAAGAATATGCAAATCCGTTTTTTATGAAAAAAGAAAAATAAAATTGAGAGCCAATGCCTAGCAAAATAATTCTTATCATATTGCCCAAATCAAACAATTGGGAATCTTTTTGAAATCAACAATAATATATGATTCAAGATAATTTTAGGATGGGCATGACAACTATTTTATTTTTTAGCACTATTTCTGAAAAGAAATAATTCTTTTCTATTTCTGTGCCTTGGAACAATTTCTGAAAAAAAAAATGTATTTGATAACATGTTCTATTTTTATTTCGAGAAAAAAATTTGTGTTTGATAACACAACAAAAAATATAATAAAAAATAATCTCTATTAACTATAAAAAAAATTAGATTATCACTTTCCTTTCCATATGGTGTGATTGTGGTGGTGGTGGCGGGGGTGGCATGGTGGTGGTGGTGGCGGCGGCGGTACGGTAGTGACATGGTGATGATAGTGGTGGTGGTGGTTGTGACGGCAGTGGCTGGGACGATGGCGGTGGTAATGGTGGCAGCGACGGCGATAGTGGTAGGAATTGTGGTTGGTGGCGGCGACAATGGTGGTGGTGGTGGTGGTGGTGATGGTGGCGGTGTCATGGTGACTGTAGTAGTGGCTATGACGATGGTGGTGGCGGTTGGTGGCGACGATGGCGACGGTAGTGGCTGCGACAATGGTAGTGGTGGTTGGTGACAATGGTGGTGATCGTAGCAGTGGCATTGTGGTGGTGGTAGTCGTGGTGATGGTGTTGGTGGCAATGACGTGGTGATGACAATGGTGGCGGTGACGACAGTGGTTGCAATGATGGTGGTGGTGACGGTGGTGGTGGTGGTTGTGGTGGTGGTGGTGACAGTGGCATGGTGATAGTGATGTGTGGAGGTGGTGGTGGTGAAGACGACACTAGTGGTATGACGATAGCGGTGACGACGGTGTCGGTGGTCGTGTTGGGATGACGGCGGTGGTGGTGATGATGGTAGAGGTGGTGAGTGATTGAGAAAGATAAATGTTTCTTATTTTGTGCCTGAGAACAAAAAAACAATTTTTTTTTTATTATCTCAATTTGTTCTCCAGCACAAAAATTAAACCGGTTCATCCCGGAAATAAAAAAATAAACCGATTTTACCAAACGAGTTTTCTATCCATTTCTGTTCCCAGGAACATAAATTAAAAAAAAATACTGATGGCAAGAATACTGTCATGCACAACCTTAATGTACTGAGAATGGATTTTCTCATATATAATTTAACATGATCCAAGTTATTTGAGACAATTTTTTTTTTTTTATAACAATTTGAGACAATTTTAACCATTTAGTAATATAGTTATTTTTTTGTCACTACTTATTAATTTAATAATTAATAATTAAAATTATCTCATAAGAATGAAATGACTAATTCCTATATAACACATTTCCCGCTTGTCAAGATGAAACTGATTCCTACAAAGGCATATAAAAAGAGCAGTTTGAGGAAAAATCCGAAACCCAAGAATTTTGCAAAGAAAATAATAATAATAAAGGTTAACAAAAGGCACCAGTTGATGATTACAACTTAAGTTACATCAGCTCGATTAAATTTTAACAATTAAAGTGGGTTCCTCAAAAAACTAAACAAAAATAATTAAAGCGGTTGGAGCCCTTACAATTACTTTTTTAAATCCCCAATTGCTCCAGATATTTTTCCTGAGCCCAAACTCCGCATTCTCTCTCTCTCTCTCTGTACCTGCAAGAACGCACAGGCTCGCCATTTGTATGGGAATTCTCCGACACAGATCTCTCATTCAATCTTCCATGGTTCGTTTCATCACTCTATCCGATTCATCAATGGAATTCGATTCTCAGCTTACCGGCGGGAACTGCGATCTTCTTCGTGAAGTTCGTGTCCGTACTTGCATTCTTGCTTCATTTTTTGTTACTTCGCTACTCAAAGATTCCACGGTTCCTCGAACTTACGTTCGTAGAAGCTATATTGTAAAAATCCAAGATAGTTGAAAATCCAAGAAAACCTGCAATCTTACGGCACCGACATTGCTGCAGAAACTATATTGTAAGATTTCTCGTTGTTCGGATATTTTATAACGAATTATATGAATTTTTTTTTCAATATTGTTGTGGTATTAATATCATATGGTGTTTCTTCGTGTTTTGCATTTACCTGTGCATTATCTTGCAATGTAGGTTGCTTTTTAATGGTCTTTACGGAAACAGTAGATCGTTTTGGACGGAGAAGGCCGATTCGATCTCCGGTAAATACGAGAAACTGATCGTATTTTGTTGATTGGCTGCTTTCATTATTTCTAATAATGAATGCGCTGTCGAATGCGCTTGCTTTTTTTCTCCCGTGTTGTCGTTCTATTTTTCTCACTGAAATGTGAACCATGTCGGTGAATACTTTCCTTGGTCTCATTCACTCCATTAGGTTAAAAATCAAATAAAGTTTGTGCTTCGTTCCATGAGGTTTGTTCTATAAGCGTTTTCGCATTTTGAGCTATTTATTATCAAATTTTTAAACACGGTGAGGGTAATAAGCTAATAAAATAAAGCCATGGAATAGAAAAAGGTAATGCTAAATTGATAACTTCAAAAAGAATGTGCATATAGTTTTATTGATGGCTACCTGGATTTTATCTGTGGTTCCTCTCCTTATACAATGACCATTGTGCAATACTGTGATCTATATTCCCAAAATCCAAAATGCAATTTTCTAGCAGTTTTTTATTTTAATTGAGTGTATATTCTTATTGAACATAATTTGATATTTCTTTATCTTACTGGATAAGGGTTTGTGACTTTTGTTGTTTTTGATGATGTGGGGAAAGCAATTTGAATTGAAGATGGAACAAATCAACCTGCAAAACTTATCCCTATTTTAGAAAAAAAATAGGTTTAAGATAAATCTCATGAATCTTCAAATATGCCTTGACCTACTCATTTGAAGGGTTTTCATGTTGGAACAATAATTTTGGCTAGTCCCATGTAGTGTACAATTTGCATGAGGCTTGATTGAGCAATGGAGGATGTATTTTGATTTAACACAATGGGTATTTTGTTAAAAATACGGGTGCTGTAGGACAATACAGCATATTTTGCTTTCTTTATGCACGTTTAGGGTTTCAGACCGAGGATATGCCATTCAGGATTGTAGGAGAGTGGTCTTAGAGCATGTATACTATTTTATTGATAAATGCACAAGGATTTGAAGACAAGCAGTTGCTGATTTTGAGAAAATATTACTGAAGATTTTTGGCCTGAACCAAAGGCCAAAGTTTTTTAAGAAATGTTTTGAATAGAAATAAAATGGTCAATGGCTAGGCATACTTGTGAATAGCCCCATCTTAGTGCACTATAGCGGAGTTGCGTTGCGGTGCAATGGCCGCCCGCCATAGATCGTGCCACGATGGTCAGGCAAAGTGTAGCAGATGTAGCGTGAATTGCGGCGCTATTGCGCCGCTACAGTAGTTTATGCAAAAGTCTTCTCGTCATAGAAGGAAGAGATTTACAACTTAGATACAAGTGAAAGTGAAGATAAAGATTTGGATGTTGCTGATTTCAATTATGATTAGTTCCTTAAGTTCTTTGATTTTGACATTTTACTTAAGTGGCAGTTTGAATTTTGATTAATTTTGCCACTTTATTTTGTTGTGTTACATTATCTGAGACTTTAATTCCTTCAATTTGCTTATGATTTGAATTTTAATGTTTGAAATCATTTATATTTGAGTTTGAGATCCTTCAAATTTGTTTTTTATGTCACATTTTCATATTTTAAGTTTTATACTTGTGTAGTACAATTTAGTGTATCACTTAGGTACACTTTGCATAGTAGCGTTGTAGTGCTACCCGCTATAGTACTATAGCAGTTTGGAGGGTCAGCCGCTACGCGCCGCTATCCGAGATTAATAAGTATGTGGCTAGGGAAAAAGTAGTGATTTATGAAGGTCAAATGGTGTATTTTAGGATTGTGATAAATGATGAAGATTGAAGGGGTGAATTATAAAAGTGCTGCTACAAAGAAGAGTCTCTTATTGATATATAAAAAAAAAAAACCACTCCCCGTTAAACCCGACTAGCGAGTGTGGGGTGGAGGTAATCCTTGTACGCAGCTTTACCCTTGCATAATTGCAAAAAGGCTGTTAAAGGCTGTTTCGTGGATTCAAACCCATGACCTTTCAGTCGTGAAAGAACAGCTTTGTCACTGCGCCGGTTGACCCTTTTTTTAAAAAATCACTCCCCAATTAACCCGACTAGCGAGTGTGGGGTGAGAGCAATCCTTGTATGTAGCTTTACCTTTACAAGTAATTGTAAAGTGACTGTTTTCCGGATTCGAACCCGTGACCTTTCAGTCACAAAGGAACAACTTTACCACTGCTCTGGTTCACCCTCTTTTTAAAACCCGTGACCTCTCATTGATATATATGTAAAACAACAACCTATAACTATAATTCATATTGATCATGATTCAATGAACTTCAGAAATTGATATTGTAGACCTGATGAACTATGATGGATGCGTATTCTGACGCCAGAATGTTTCCTTTTGTCATGAGGCCAACAACTTTTTACTTGGACTTTGTAATAGGGTGTTTGGATATTTTCGGACAAGTTCTGATGTGCCACTAAGAGGTTATTTGTGATTGTGCATCCTCCTCCTTATATTTCTTGGTTTTGTTATTAAATTTTTTATTAATTTTCTTGGTGTTTTTGAAATAATTAATTGTATATGTGGGTTTTCATGTATGTGGAAACATGTTATGACCTGTTAGGCTGTGAAGAATCAGTTTTCATGATGCTTTAGAGATTTTCTTGTAATAATCTACTCGGGACTAATGATAAAATTATGAAATTTTTAATCATAAAATAATATTTCAAAGGTGAAACTTTCCACTAAATTACTTTGTCCTTGTAGATCAGTTTACTTCTTGTCGCATGATTTATTGTTTTCAATTTATGAAATGCTATAGGTCCCTTGAGAATGATCAATGGCCATATTAGCAGCTGATGTGGTTGTTATTAATGTTAGGAATGTCTAGGTAAAATATGTTTTGTTTTAGCTCACACCTGCTCATTTCATTTTGGGTAATTTTAAGCAAAAACCTTTTTTTATTTAGCTATGCTGCCATTGGTTATTAGATAGAAAAAAAAATGTAACTAGTTTTTAAGAAAATGATTTTGTCATAAACCAACTATTTAAAAAAATTAAGGTGTTAGGTGAAGACACATAAATGATGTTCATATTACATCTCTAAGAACCTCCTCAATTAAGAGCCCTTTGGGCTTAAATCCACATACTTTGCGCTAAAGTTCTATTTTTTATTACAATGGGGGCGGTAAGGATCAAATTATAGACGATTTGGTTATAAAAGCTTTAATATTATATCATGAATTAACTAACCCAAAAGTTCAAGTTGTTAAATGAAGGTACATGAATGGTTTTTATATTAGTTTTGTCACAGATTTAACTTAAAATTGGTAGCTGGAATTGGGTTTGTATTCAGTGCGGGTTCTTTGCTTTTAATTCTTGAAATTTCTTCCCTTATATTTAGTACTACATAAATCATACTGTATAACCACAATAGATAACCTTCATAATGTTGAATTTAAAAATCATATAATGTTCATAGCTTCCATTGTCAATGTCAGTTACCATCTGGCAAAAAATTGGAACTGGCAAAGCAAAACTGGAAGGGAGAAAATGAGATATTTTCGGGGTCTTTTTGCTTATACGGAATGGTCTTCATATTCTTCATCTTCAATTATGTATTGACGATTTTTTCTTGATGAATTTTCACTTCTATGTTTACAACATTGCATTTTCTTTTTTGAGATGCGCTAGTCTCTTCTACACTTCCTTTCTTATTGTTAGGCTGTCTTCCTCCTGTTTTTGAGCCCCCTTGCTTGCTGTTTTCGTTTTATTTTCCTTTACTTCCTCTCCTTGTTTTACTGTCTCCTATATTTTAATTATTCTTTTTTCATCAATAAAATGATATCATCCTTTTATGAGGCACCAAAAAAAAAGCACAAAACAAAGACAGGAGAAACACATCAATTTGGAATAATAAATACAACTCTTGTAAAGAAACCATGTTTTGAAAACCAAACTGAGGCCATTAACATGTTAAAAGATTTTTCATGATAGAATGTGTATCACTATTTATTTGACGTGATCATGTATATATTTCATATTTCTAGCAAAATTCTAGTTTAAAATACCTCCATTTTATTTCTTTGAACTGGGGATGACTGGCATTTGAACACCTTGCTTTGTATTTGTGCTTCTGTCTCTTACATGCGCCCTCTGTAGTGCATCTTACCCTTTACCAACTTTTTTCATCCTGAAATTAGCAATTAATTGAATATGTATTGCATTTTGTTCTTGATCTGAATCTGGTTGAGTGGACTGGTTATTTGCAAACCATTTCAGTAATGATCATATTGATAGTAGACTAAATCTGGATCTCTGTTGTTAGTATGCAGTTGCTGAACTTTCTGAATATTAATGTCACAACATCAGTTTTTTTTTTTTTTTTTTTTTTTTTTTGATAACAACAGTTTTTTTTTTTTGTTGAAACAGATTCTGCAAAAAGTTTGCCTTAGTTTCATTCTAGTGCTGCTGATATGGAATACGTTGTTTGATTGTGGTGATGGGTCAATTTTTCCGCAGATAAACTACAATATTAGTCATTCTTTTTGTTTTCTCTTCATGCTTGAAGATATTATTTGAATCTTAGTGAGTCTAGTTTTCTGGATATAGGTTGTGCTGATGAAGCAAGGTTCTTTTTAATGGAAGAGGTATCTGCAACGCGGGTTTAAACTATACGGACGATATTTGGCAGGGTGATTTCTTTTTCCTTTTAAATACTAAAACTGAATATCTGATTCTTGTTTCGTAACAGTTGTCTGATTTTAAACAATATAAAATAAAGGATGGTCAGCAGTGCACGGGGCTCCCACCATTGTGAGGATAGGCTTAGGCCTTAAAGCCTGTTTAGAAAAGGACACAGGCCTAGCTGTACAAGCTTACATGCCGGCCTATTTATTATTTTATTTATTTTTTCTAATTCTTGAAAGCCTAATAGGCCTATGCTGGGCCTTTTAATTTTTAAATATAGGCTAGGTCATGCCTACAATTTGACTTATACTAGGCTAATAGGCCAAGTAAGGCTTTAAAATGACTTTATAACATTTTATATAGCAATGACTTATTTCTTCTTAATTGAACATCTTGCTAATTATTATGTTACTGGTGTGGCATTAACTTACAGTACGAATTCCTTAGTGTGGCTGTAAATGCCTTGTTACAACCATGGCAGTTCTGCTTAGCCATGACTGCAAATGTCAGTTTTAAAATGAAGTTTCAATGCCAAAGTGGTGATTTTTCTTTATTTTACAATAGAAGTTAAACTGCTAGATTGCATATAGTTGATACAATCAACTAATATCAGAGGGGAAAATTCGGATGAAACTGAAACTGAGACACTGGTATATTACTGGTAATATATAGAATTACAGCCACCAATTCCAGAAAACAAGAAGGATAACAACGAAAGATGATGTGCAAGAAACAGTAAACGATATGAACCCAGAAGATGAACTATCAGAGAAATTTGAGGAGCTCTGGCTCCTAAACAACCCTCAATTCCATGATAAACCTACCAAATGTGCTCCCTTCCTATTTAACTTCCAAGGCTTTCCTCATTCCTACCCATTCTATTATCCACATCAGCAGCTGGTGCGCAAATTGCCTTCCCTGAATGACTGGAATATTCTTTTCTTCCCATGTGTTTTCAAAGGAAGGTAGGTGTTTCCATTTGAGTAGCACTTTGGTGGTACTGGAAGCAGACTTGCACCTAGCAATTAGATCTTCAAGATCAACCCTTCAACATAGGAGGTAGAGCCTGGATATTTGCAGAAGGAGAAACAACCTTCTTAAAATGGGAAGTATGAAATACGGAGTGGACTCTACTAGTTGGAGGTAGGTCCAGAAGATATGCAGCCTCTCCAATCCTCTCCAATACCATATAAGGACCATAAAAATGAGGACTAAGCTTCTTATTGATCCTCTTAGCCAATGACTTCAAACGGTAAGGCTGTAATTTAAAATATACTGAATCACCAACAGCAAAAGAGTCAGGAAGAACAGCATCATGATCAGCCTGAACTTTCATGCATATTTGGGCAGGATTCAAATTGTGATTTAAATCATGAAGAACAATGTCACGAGTTTTCAGCCAGATAGAAACTTCATCTACACCGGGAGAGAAACTATGCTCCCTAAGTAAAAAAGGAGGATCACTCCCATTTGAAGAACAGTAATAGTTTTTAATTCTGTTAAAAAAAATTAAAATGCATCACTCATCTTCTAATTTGTAAAATTTCTTAATTTATTGAATATTGAATTTACATAAGATTTTGCATTTGTTTATCATACATACGAGAGTTGCTTGACTTGATAATTGCAAATTATAACCGTTGATTTGAATGTTATAAAATTTTGTCTCATATTACTAATTACTCTGACAGTTTTCTCATTTGAAGAACAGGAATAATTTTAAATTCAGTTAACAAAGTAAAATGCATTATTCATCTGTGTAATTTGTAAATTTTCTTAATTTATGAATATTGACTTTACATAGGATTTTTTACTTGCTTATCATACATACCAGAGTTGCTTGAATTGATAATTGCATATTAAAACCTTTGATTTGAATGGTTGTGGCCCATATGTCACATCATTAATAGAAAAGAATAAAACTCAAATCTAAGCCTATTTTCTTGACAGCAACCAATAACGATTCATCTCCTTGAGATGCATCAACGTAGTTGCAATCTGCTGCAGCAACCAAAGTGAATCTTATATCAAGATTTTTGCTCTTGTCATGATTTAAAGATCGAACAGCTAAATGAGATCCTACCCCAATTTTGTAGCTCCTGAAGGTGCCTCTGAGTTTTGTTGCTGTGGCTGACTTAGCTGCAGATTCAGTGGAACTTGGAATTCCTCTCCTGTGCCCAGACCACTTGTGAGAACAGAATTTCTGTTTGTTCCATTCCCATCTCTTGTTCCATTGACCTGGTTAGTGAAACTCTTTTAAAGTTCAGAATAAAATTACTTGCAAGGATGCACTTATTTAAGAAATGGATCTTTTAGTTTTAGGAGATAATTTTAGTTTGTCGTGCTATCCAAACCAATACCTTCTTTTTCAATTCCATGTTTTCTTGACGAATTAGGTTTACCTTCTTATACAGTTCCATATTTTCTTGGTGAATGAGGTTTCCCTGCAGAAAATAAAAAGAAATATTTATTTAATGTAATATAGTAAAATCACCAATGGTTGTGTTGTGTCTAAGTTGTGGAATTAGCCTCTTGCAAATGCAAGATGAGGCTGCCTATTATAGACCCACATAGTGTAAGCTTCATACAACCCTTTTAGTAGTTTTCTGTTTCTTGACTGACCTTTTGATGCAGTTCATATATTTCGTCCATTAAAAGTTGGTCCTGCATAAGTCAATCTTATGTCAAGTATCATATATTGAATTTAAAAAATGGAGCACCACATTTTGGATGGAAAATTCAAACCTTTTTCTCACGTATACCACGAAGGCCAATTTCCAGTTTGTTCTCCAAAGTCTGTAATTCTTTTACAGTCAAACCTGACAGTTCTCCCATCATGTGCCTGTTAGTTCATAGCAAATACCAAAAGAAAATGTTTGTATTTGCATCTTGGATAACTGAAAAATCATCTTACAGGCTAGAGACAATGAACATATTAATTAGCAAGTACATTGTATTTTATAATTTGACTACATTTAATAAATGCTTTCAGCTTTGTATTTCATAATAGTATTTTACCAACACTTTGACTGTCTTTTCCAGGTTTTTACCTAGAGAGGTAAAACATGATTGATATAAGTATTAACTAGTTGGTAACTGTAGAAAGAAAGGGATCTTATCGAAAGGTAAACATATTTCTTGAGACTTTTCTTCTACTAAACTTTTTAAATTATTAAGCGTTAATATGCCCACTTATATTAGGAGTAGTGATCTATATTAGGAGCCAGATGGTGACCATATATAATCTATTTGGAGGGAAAGAACAACTAAGGGGAGGAAATATATCCTTGAAAGCCAAAGAAACAAGGGTTGATTGACCATTTTGCCCTTGTTTTCAATTTTTTTTACCTTTTTATCCCTCCCCCCAATTTATATACCAATCTGTCCTTTTTCTCAAATTATGTATCAATTTGTCCTTGTTTGACCAAAGTTTGACTAACACTTACTCGAGCAAATGATTTACCAAAGACTAAGGTTTGATCAAACTTTGGTTAAATAGGGGCACATTGGTGTATATAGTTTGAAAAAAAGAGGCAAATTGATATTTAGTTTGGGAAGAGTGACAAAGTGGTAAAAAAAATTATAATGTAGGGGAAAATGGCCAATCAACTAAGAAACAAGATACAACCACAAATGAGAAAATAATCAAAATGTAGCCAGGCTTCCTAATCTATCCACATACATGATATGGTGACTCCCTTTCCTTGAAATAACTATTATGAGAGAGAAATAATATATATAACCCTATGCCCAGACAAGTCTATTGGATGGAAGATATCTTTAAAGATGAGCTTCAACTAAATACACAAAGAAGTACATTAGATTCCGGTACCAAAACATTTTAGTCTAGAAAACCTCTATAGCCACATAAATCATTAAAAGCTGCTCCAAAGCTTCTTTTTTTTTAAAAATATTTTATTCTTAATTTTGTGAATGATGCAACTTGGCTTGAAAGGGTTTTGAACAATCAAATTTATTAAAAGCTTGCATATTATGGTGTTTTTAAACATGAATATTTCTGAACATATCTTTAAAACAAGCATATGCAGCACAGAAAAGAATGTACCGATGACTTTCTTGCAAGTTTTGCAACTGTTGCCTTAACATTGCTGCCTCCCTTTGCCAAAACTAGAAAAGTTGGTAAGAAAACAATTTGATGTTCTCATATACTGAAGGAAAAGTAAGCACTAGTTATAGTGTTATACGTGCTTTTACCACAGTATTTCCCTTCAAGAGTCAGATAAGTATGTGAGATAACTTAAACTAAATTTAAATAGGCAAAGCGACAAATGTTTCAACAAATATGCATAAATAATCATAAACTTCCATCTGATTGGCATCTTATAAAGTTCTCAAAGTATTTTAATCTAATGTTTAGGAAGGATTAGGTTTAGACTTTTGGGATTTTCATCTTTTGTTCTCAAGAGAAGCTAAAGTATTTATGATATATTTTGTTTATGTTTTGCTTTGGCTGAGAATTGACATTGTCAAATGTGTTTTGGCTCTAATAGAAATATCTAGCCATTAATTACATGGCTTAAATGGTTGTTGTATATGGTACAAAAAATTAAAATCAGAGAAGTTGAAAGGCGTAAGCATCTCCAAACTTGAATGTTGTTTCAAGTCCACATCTTACTCTAAACCTTAATCTATTAGGTGGTTGTCCAAAAAATATTTGCCTAAGATTGCCTAGTACTCATCGAGATAAGACTATGACTTCTTACAGTTATAGGTTTATGATTTTAAGCGTTTGGGATGATTCTTCCCTAATTTCTTTCATGGAATTTTATATTCGTCATGATCATTTCCTATTTTAAATGAAAGGGTTGCTTGGGTTGTTATTTTGTTTTTAATTATGTGGCTTCTTACTCCAACATCATTTCTTTAATTTACATGTTTGGATTGGTGGGAAGAGTGAAGGTCTAACAAGCTTAACTTGTTAGATGAAGATCTAGCAAAAAAATGATATGATAGTAAATGTTCTACAGTGAGCTATTTTGCTTGAAAAACGTCTTATTGTAATCATTGTTCTCGATATAAACTATTAGGTGTTTTTCTATGGATGTGTTAATCAATGTTTTATTTTTTTTCTAACATGGCTATTGTTGTATCAGATTATAGTCCTTGTTGTATCGTGGTTCTGTTGTATTAGATTCCTTTCGCTTCTATCAGTTTTGACTATGCCTTTACCACTGTTACCTATCTCATTAATAGACTGCCTTCACCTGCCATTGAGTTTGATGTCCCATTCACTAAATTGTTTGGGCAAAATTCAGACTATAAATTCCTAAAAGTTTTGGTTGTGCATGTTTTCCCTTCCTTCGGCCTTGCAACAAACATAAGCTGGAATATAGGTCAAAGGAGTGTGTATTTCTTGGCTATTCCCCAAATCACAAAGGATATTTGTGTCTGAGTTCAAATGGGAGAATCTATGTGTCTAAAGATGTTTTATTCAATGAATATAGATTTTCCTATACTTTATGGAGCACTAATAACTCATCTCCTCATCCACTATCTACTCCTGTTTCTGTTCCTCTGTTCATTAAGTCACCAAATTTACCTACCCCCTTTACCTCTCAGTCTTCCTTACCTGTGCAACAAGATGACATTTCTCTTGTCACTTCTCAGGTTCGTTCTCAGCCTGACAGCTCTAATAATTCCAATTTTGCTCAATCCACTGATGCCAATCATAGTCCTTGTCCTCCTATTGAAGCTCAGGCTCCTGCTTTTTCTGGTTCTTCTAGACAATCCACTGATATTCATTAGAATTCTTCTCATACCACTGATGTTCAGGTTTCCAGTCCATCCAATTCGTCATCCTCTCTCTCTGAGTCATCTCAGTCAGAATATGCTCCGTCAGCATCATGAAGTCCACCATCTCCTACTCATTCCATAACCACCAGGTCCAAAACTATGGCTAGAACCTTGGCTCTTCTCACTCACATTGAACCTACATCAGTGAAGCAAGCCCTCACCAGTCCTCACTGGCTTCAAGCTATGGAATTGGAGTTTGCTGCTTTACAATCTAACAAAAATTGGTCTCTTGTTCCCTTACCTGCAGGCAACAATGCTGTTGGCTGTAAATAGGTTTTCAAGGTCAAAGAAAATCTTGATGGCAACATTAATAAGCATAAAGCAAGGTTAGTTGCTAAGGGATTCCACCAAAGAGCTGGTCTAGATTATAATGAGACCTTTTCACCCGTTATCAAGCCGGTGACAGTTCGGACTATGCTTACCATTGCCCTTACTTATGGCTGGACTTTAAGGCAACTAGACATCAACAATGCTTTCCTAAATGGAAATCTACAAGAAAAAGTCTACATGCAACAACCTCCAGGTTTTGAGAGTGAAGACAAGTCCTTAGTTTGTAGACTACACAAGTCCCTCTATGGTCTCAAACAAGCCCCAAGGGCTTGGTTTGATAAACTTAAAGAAACACTGCTTTCCTTTGGCTTCCAAGCTAGTAGATGTGTTCCTTCTCTTTTCATTTATAGATCTGGCCCTATGAGAATTTTTATGTCAGTCTATGTTGATGACATTATAATTACTAGCAGTGATGCTCCCTTCATACAATCTTTGATTTCTCAGCTCCACTCTAAGTTCTCTCTTAAAGATTTGGGTGATTTGGACTATTTCTTAGGGATTGAAGTCAGACGACAGTCCCATGGTTCTCTGTTTCTCACTTAGACAAAGTATATTTGAGATCTTCTTCATAAAACTAATATGACTGAAGCTAAGTCTATCTCTACTCCCATGCCTTCCAGCTGCAAGCTGTCGAAAGTTGGTTCCAACTACTTTGATGACCTGCTCTGTATAGATCAGTTGTTGGGGCACTCCAATATGCCACCATTGCTCATAATCATGTCCTTCATGCTCGGACAAAGCATCTAGAGCTGGATCTTCATTTTGTTCGCTAGAAAGTATTGCTCAAGTAGATTTCTGTTGTCCATGTTCCTGCATCTGATCAACTTGCGGACACTCTCACAAAGCCTCTCTCCCCTGAATCTTTTGCTCAGTTTCTTGCCAAACTCACAGTTTTGGACTCTGCCTTGCAGCCCCATCCCTGATGAGTTTGCGAGGGAATATTAGCGTAGTCATTATATTATAACTCTTGTTGTATCATATTATAGTCCTTGTTGTATCGTGATTCTGTTGTATTAGATTCCTTTCTCTTCTATCAGTTTGTTGTTGATCTATTGTGTTAGTTAGATAGTTGTGACTTATTGCTGAGTCATCAAGGTCTCTTATAAATAGTCCTTGTATCAGAACTTCTGAAGCACAGTTTTCCTTTTCTCTCGTTTCCCCAAACTTATTCTCTTTCTCAATGGTTCTTGCACATTTATAATACATGGCTACAATTTCTCCCATTGGTCGCCTCACCAACCCACATAAAACTGTTGCAAATTTTTGGCCTGCCACCATTTGCTGACTTATGCAATTGACAACACATGTTTGATAATAACAAGGTTTATCATTGCATAAGATGGCTTTTTTGGTGAAAGGATTTTAGGGAGTCAGGGATGTTGATAATGTAAATAGTGTACACATTTGCTGCATTAGTAATGTCTAGATTTATTGTATAGTCTAACCAAATCTTGTTTTTGGAATAATTAGGGTATCTAAGTATCTTTGCTCTTATTTTTATTTTTTACTCGTATAATTCAATCTTCATTGTGTAACCTAACACAGACTTTACTAAACGTCTCTCATTTCCTCTTCTCTCTATATGGTATCTAGAGCTTGATTGGAGACAACACATAGACTTTACTAAACGTCTCTTGTTTCCTCTTCTCTCTACGTGGTATCTAGAGCTTGATTGGAGACAACCCTTGTCCGTATCTATCTGGTGGACCCAATGCTCATAGGTGAACATGCCCTAGCTGATCTGCTGTGGTTCTATGCCGTACTGGCTGAATTTGCTGCTCTTTAGGTCAATAGTACTTGGTCCCTTGTTTCCCACTAGACATGGTTTTTACTAGAATGAGACATTATCCTTAGTGGTCAAGCTAGTTATTATCCGATTTGTGCTTACTTTGGCTCTTGTTTATCACTGACTTTTACAGCAACTGGATGTTAACAATGCCTTTTTAAATGGTCTGCTAAATGAAGAGGTTTACATGTCTCAACCTCCAGGATTTGAATCTCCTTATAATTCTCTGGTGTGCTGGCTTCACTAGGCATTGTATGGACTGAAATAGGCTCATAGGGGTTGGTTTGAGAGTTTGAGCAGACCCTTCTTAAATCTTGGCTTTAAATAGTGTGACCCTCCCCTCTTTATTCTTCGTATTGTGTGCTCTTCAGGGAGTGATTCACAATTGATACAGTAGCTCATTATCAAGCTCAATTCCATCTTTGCTCCTAAGCAGCTTGAGACCTTAGATTATTTTCTTGGGATTGAAGTGAAGCATCTCCTTGGTGTGTTTATATTGCTCCCTTAATCTAAATACACTTTGGATTTGCTTGGTAGGGCTGGAATGGATGCAACTAAGGGTATTTCAATCCCTATGCCTGAGGCTGTAAGCTCTCTAAACATGGGGAAACACCCATTCAACTGATTAGAAGGAATGAATGATTAGAAAGAAAGACAAAATCAAGAGAAATGTTGGTATTTTTGTGACATAAGTTCTTAAATTTGGCATTACTTGTGAAGTTTCTTCTGAAATAAAGGGGAGAAGTTCTTAATTTCTCTTAATTTCTTTTAATCTGAGTCCTTCCTCCAGAGTAGTTAACTGATGCTTTGTTTCGTTATGTTCTGGCAGAAAACGGACGTTTTGGGTGGCAGAATGGCCTGTGCCTTTGCTATGGGCAGAACACAAAAAGCATTCTGTCAGTTTGGGCATATGACCATGCCAACCAAGATCTGATAGGTCCCACTAAGTTCCTGCATTTTGTCTCATCACACTCTCTAGGTAGTTTGTGATGATCTCATTTGAAAGGATGAGGTCTGAAAGCTTCAACGTCTAGGCTGAAATAACCATTAATGTGGCCATACCTGTTTCGGCAGTGCCCTCATTATTTTGATTTTTCTGCTGAAATCACACAAAGGTACCCTCAGCCTCTCTATTCTTCACTCATTTTTGTTTCTCTCTTATTTTTTTTATTTTTTTTCGTTGTTCTAATTTTTTTCACAATGGCTGCCATGCTTCAATGTCTTGTAAGCTTTGCCACCAGTGGTTACCATGTGCCATTGACAACACTGAGAAAACCGGTGGCTGGGAGGGTGTCCTCCAAAGATATGATCATTTTTTTTTCTTGGACCTGACAAGTGTTGTATCTTTAATTCCATGAAAAAAAAACCAAGAAAATAGAAACTTAAGGTATTAATGTTGTGAATCGTATTTTCCAAATTTTTGTTTATTCTAATTAAGGTTTTAGTGTTTTATATAATTATATGATACTATCTCAAGCATGTCTGTAAATGAATTCATATCTTTGATAGCAAACTCCATTGCGGGTATTGGTACAAGATATTTATAAATACCTTAATTTCAGAGGTTGAACTCCCAAGTGGATGGTGCTCCTCTTTTGTTTTGTTGTATCGATCAATAACAGATTTCATGCTGGAACAAAGTCATTCAAATTCAAATTGCATCAGTCATGTGTTTTGATGATTGCTAACATTGAGCAAACGAAATTAGGATCAAACTATACAGATAGATGGATGTTGGAAGACTTAAAACTTTTATCAGGCAACAAACTGGCACAGGACCAGCTGAGAATATAGTGTCATATATAGTCGATAGCTGGAATCATTCTGCTCTATTGATCACTTACGTATGATATCAATTATCAGATTTTCTGCGTCTATATGAAAAGATTCTATACATGTATGTCACATGAAGGCTTAAAGCTTAAGCTATGCTTAAGAGAAATTGAACTCTGTCTATCCTGTGGCAAGGGTTTCATATTTCTAGGAAAGATATGTTAAGAATACGATGTGGTCATGTGCTCTGGTAGTATGATGCATTTTATTGCATATATGATTAGATTTGAATTTTTTTAATGTTTTTTATGAAAAAATTTAGACCTATTAGTTATTTATATCTATTTGATGATATTAAGTTTATTTTGGTCAAAATTTTCTAACTAAGTGATGGAGGAAAAAAAAGGAATTTGGATATGAATTTTTTAATAATAGTGCTTAACTAATAAATGATGAACTCGACCCAAATTAATATCAATGTAGCTGGGAAGATTTTTCCCTTCAAAATCAATTCAAATTGCAAACATCTCTAGGGCATAGTTGGTGAGAGTTATGTTTTATTATGAAGATGAGAAAATTATTGATCATTGGCGAAACTTATATATAAGGGGCATAGAGAGAAGCCTAGTCCTAAAATTTGTTTTCCCTTAGCAGTTGGTACCACTGAATATCATAAAATGTTTTATCTAGTTTAGACTTGGATTATTGATTATGATGTCATTATGTTTCTTTTTCTTTTTTTGTATAAATGTGGAAAGCAACAACTACATATCTCTAATCAAACGGGGCCAAGCAACGCCCCTAAAATCATTCTCTCAAACCCCTATACACCCTTGAGGGGGAGCCTCTAACAAAACAATCTATCATCCTAAAGTATGAGAAAAACCAGCAAGCCAATCAGCAACACTATTACCTTCTCTAAAAATATGAACAAAATTAATTTGCCAATCTAAGTTTCTCATCTGTGTAATCTTCCTAACTAGACCAGCATGAGGATGACATGGGGAGCATCCATCTGTGATCATATCCAGCACCACTTTGGAGTCTCCTTCAATAATGATTCTTCTAAATCCCTTGTTCCAAGAAGTTTGAAGCCCCAATAGAATACCCTAGAGTTCTGCCTTCACAGAGCTTCCCGCTCTCAAATTCCTTGTAAAACCCAAAATCCAGTGACTAGATTCGTCCCTCAAGACACCCCCACAACCACTTTGCCTATTACCTCTCAATGCAGATCCATCAGTATTAACTTTTATGGACCCAGATGGGGGAGGAACCCATTGGATAAATCTCTCCACCCGAGGATGGACCTGAAGACCAGTACCCTTGAGCAAAACCTTTGCATCTGAAAAATTCAACATGTATGTACGTGCTGCTCTTGCCGTCCCCTCCTCTGTAGAGCTCTTGTTTTCAAAAACTAAGCTATTTCTTTCTCGCTAGATAAACCAACAAGTGATTCCAAAGAGAGTGCAGCCTTTTAAACCCCCTATCATATTGGACTTGGGGTTCAGGTTAGATGATAACCAAACATGAGGAGTGAGGTTGTTAAAATCTGACCACTTATCTGGACTAATGAGCATCTTCCAAATGGCTTGAGCCCAGTAGCAATCTCGCGTAACATGTATACAGCTCTCCGAGGCAGAATTGCATCTGGGGCAAGAGTTGATATTGGTAAGATGTCTCTGGTATCTCCTTTGGTTCGTGAGTAGATTATCTCCGAGAAGCAACCAGAGGAATGTCTTGATCCTGGGTGGGCCATCCCACTCCCAGACTGTATTCCAATTGGGCTGATGTTGGCCAGAGTCGTCATTACCGAGGCTATCCATGGCAGATTTAATGGAGAAGAGGCCATCATAGGAGGAGTCCCAGATCACCTGGTCATCTCCATCATCCGGCTTGGGAGGGATAGTACCTGCAATGAAATTTAATGCTTCATGTGTTAGTAAATTTTGGAATTCCTGCCACTTCCATTCACCTTGATGGTTTGCCATCTGGGCTATACTAGCACAATAGGACTCTAAGAGAATGGTTTGTGTAGTGTGATCACTGAGAGGGTCGATGGGCAGCTATTTGTCGTTCCAAAATGAGCTCCCATTTTCATTTCCTATCAAAATTCTTGACCCTTCAAGGATATTGTTCCACACCCGAGAGAGCCCAATCCAGAGATTGGAGCAGCTAGCTCTTTTTTTAACCTTGGGCAACAGACCCTCCTCCACTTTGTATTTATCTTTCAGAACTCGCACCCAGAGGTCCTCCCTATGTGTTAAAATCCTATGGCCAATCTTCATAAGGCATGCTTTGTTTGTCTTTCTCAGACTTCTAATCCCCAGGCCACCATGTTCCTTAGCTCTGCACACAGTGCTCCACGGCAAGGCATGGATCTTCCTAGCTTCCTGATTGGATCCCCACACAAAGCCTCTCATTTTTTTTCCACTTCATCACAAGTACCAAGGGGAATGAGAGAGGTTTGCATGGAGTACATAGGCAAGGCTGCAAGGACAGACTTAGTAAGAACAACCATTCCTGCCATAGAAAGGGATTTTGCTTTCCACGCACTGAGTTTGCTGCTAGTCTTGTCAATAATATGCCTGAAGGTATTTTTATTGACTCTCTTATGCAAGATAGGGATTTCCAAGTACTTCCCTAGATCAGCAGTAGGTGTAAAATTCATGATCTGACACAGATCACTCCTCTTTTTCTCCAAGAATGTGAATGATGTCATTATGTTTCTTAATCTTTAAGTCGTTGGATGAACTGACTGACTCACTCAGGCTTCTTTATTTCATAAAGCACATGTTGATATGTTAGTGTGCATGATGATCACAAATAATATAACATAGTATAATATAAGGGATTTATGAATCTTATGTCATTGGATAAAGCTTGCATCATGCTATAGACATAATATAAGTGGGTTCCACCAGTTTTTGTAAAAAAGAAGTGATGCACATATATCGATTTGTTTGTAGGAAGGAACAGTTGATTTCATGTAACATGACCAAATGATTTCCCATAATATAATGATTAGATTTGTTAAATTTACATTTTATAAAATGTTAATTAAACGGTGTAAGTATTTATATGAGGTTTTTTTCCGGTAATTAATGGTTAGGATTTATTACTAAACTTTTACATCAAAGCCACAAATCTATTTACTAGAATTTCAAGGTTCTATGGTAATAATATAGTATTTACTACTGAATTTGTAATTGGTAAACAAATGGTTCAAAAATCTCTGGAAAACTAACTCTGCAAGCACCTTTAATTTATTTCTGGGTTATAATAGTCTTTATGTTTATATTTTTTTAAGATTTCAATACCAAAACGACGTTGTTTTGGGAATAAATGCAGATAACTTAACTGCATTAACTGCAAAAATATTTTTCCATATATATATATATATATATATTAGCTATGAATAATAGTTTACATTTAGCATCTGTTGAGCATTAACCCAAGAATATTTTTGTACGGGCAACGTTTAACATATTTAAGGAGAATTTAGAGTAAGCCTTTAAGATTGATTTAGTGGTGAGGAATTTATATAGTTTGTATGTAAATCACAGTGCTCCCATTGTATCATAAAAAGAAGAAGAAGAATTTAGAGTAATCAACTTAAATAATGAGTCAGAGAATTTAAAGTAAATGAGTTGTGGATAGCAAAAATTAAATAAGTCAATTATGATCTTTAGCATTTGCAAACTAGCACTTTTTCTATAGGAAGGGGGTGTTAGGAAAGAAAGTTAATAGACGGGAAAAAAAATGGGTCCTTTAGTTTAGCAGTGCACAAGTTTTAGTACTTCAAAACTCCAAAAAGATAAAATTCAACTAAATTTTAAAAAAAAATCAATTTTTTTTTTTTTTTAAAAAGAAGTTTTTCCTGTAATTTTTTTAAAGAGTAAACCCAACTTTCATCCTCCAAAAATATAAACCACGTCACTTAATATAAAACCCAATTTTCTTTGTCGTACCAAGAAAAATTAGTATTACAAAACCTTAATTCAGGAACTAAATTGGCCACACTTTACATATAGAGGCTAAATTTATATAAAAAAAATTATATGATGGACTAAAGTTTATGAGACTTTACATTATTGAAAAACTAAATTAATGACAAAAATCTGTAGAAGATCAAAATGATGACAGTTATATTTTTAAAAGACAAATAAAATTTACTATTTTTTAATTAGTATAATAGGAAATACAAGCACCTAAGAAGAGGGAGAACATTTCTTTCTCTGTCGTTGTCTCATTTTCTCTCTCTCTTTAAAATCTTGAGAGAATATATATAAATTTCATATATATATATATATATATATATATATATATATATATATATATATATATATATAGGGCTTATCGTTTCTCAAGCTGCTTGAGATAATTTTATCTTCGGCTACTAAATCATAACCATACAAAGATAGATCAATGGTGATAAAGGAAGAGAGAGAAAAAGAGAATTATAATCATTCAAAGGTGAATCAATTAATATAAGGAAATAAATAAATAAAACGACGTAGTTTTAAGTAGCCGGAGATAAACTTATCTCAAGCTGCTTGAGTAATGTTTTTCTCATATATATATCAGGTTCAAGTATTCCGGTTCAAGTATTGTTGAACCTGTTAGAGGAGTCCAGAAATGTTTTTTCCAATTTACAGGTGCGGCTCTCCTAAGTTGTTTTCCATTTACCTATTGCATAGATGTTAATTTTGCATATTGTAATGATCACGTTAGTCTTACAATAAGTTCTCCTATCTCAAATCAACATTAATCTACCCTTCCAACTTGCCACCCCATACATAGGTCCTTTTCCAAAAAATATCATGTTCTTTTAATTAAAATAATTAATATATTTACACTATATTATTTAAGACAAAAGCACTCATATTTTTTTATTCAACAACAATGTGCCATTGTCGTTGCCGCCACTATCATTAGCCATTGTGTTGGGTTGAGAAGTAAGGGTGTTTTTGTCTTAGAATTAAGAAATATGTATAACAAATTATTATTGTTATAGAGGTATAATATAAAATCATCGATGATTCTTTACTTAATAGCTTGAGTTGTTGGGTGAGATGATTGTTTATTATGGTATCAAAGCCTCCGTAATTACGAGATCACGAGTTCGATCCTCAAATCATAAAACATCATAAAAATAAATTTACATTCAATAATATATATATATATATATATATATATATATATATATATGTGGAGTAGGATATTGTAACAATCAAGTAGGGTTACTACCAATCAATCTCACCGTTAATTGGCTATTTTGATCCGACGGTCCTGATTTGATCAATATATAGCCCTTCTCTCCCCCCTTCTCTCTCTTCCTTTCTCTCTGACTATACTCTCTAGTCTCTGCCGCCGCCGTCGCGCCGTCTCCCATAGCTGTCATCGCGCCGCCCCACTCTACTGTCGCTACCTGTAGTCATCGTCGCACCGCCGCCCTTAATCCCTCTCTAAGTTGTGCGCCCCTCTATCGCCGGACGGTTTTGCATCAGATTCATTCTGCTTTCATTTTCTTATAGACGCTTTTTATCTCATTCATCGTATTCATTCCTGTCTTTTTTCGTTTCTATTTCTTAATTTCCACATTTTACCAATTGCTGGAAAGCTTTCCATGATAATCATACTTCAGAGCATTTTTTATTTGTAGCTTGTTTTATAAATTGTGAACTTGTATACCCTTTGCCTCGTACATACCTAGTACATTATTTTGAACTGGAATGACAAAAACTGTATTTTAAATTTTTAAAAGAAGTTTGTCGAATTCCACTCTAAATATTTTGGAGTACACGGTTCTTCCTTTGTGAAAATATGCAGAATACAAAATAAGTTCCCAATGATTACTGTTCAGTAATTGGATTTTCAACTACTTTTTTTTGTAATTGATCATTATAGTCAGAGAGAAGGGAAGAGAGAGAAGGGGGGGAGAGAGAATGGCTATATATTGATCAAATCAGGACCGTCGTATCAAAATAGCCAATTAATGGTGAAATTGATTGGTAGTAACATGGTAGTAACCCTACTTGGTTGTTACAATATCTTACCCTTATATATATATATATATACACACACACACACACACACACACAAAGGATCAACTTCCTGTTAAGTGGCCAAGAGAATCACGTCTCAACCCAAAACTTTGAGATAAGGGTGGTAGTTTTTAATACGACAGGCTAAATTTGAGTTTAGGTCGACTCGTTTTCAAATCTGCATTGTGTTTGTGTTAACAAAACCTAGCAAGAAAAAATTTATGTGATGTTGCGTTTCAACCCACAAATACGACAATGACGCACATTAATATTTTTTCAGGTTATTTGTGTCGTGTCATGTCAACACAACAATGCTGAAAGCAACGTTCAATACATAATTTGTGTTGCATCATATCGTGTCAACCCGCATAATAAGCATGACACTTTGAGGTCGACAGGTCATTTGTGTCATGTCTTGTCAACCTGCATAGAAGCAACAACACACTTTGACCTCAATCAACACAAACACGACTTGCTGACACGAATTGTCAACCCTACCTTAAAATGTTAGGTTTATGAACCTTTTCATTATATGTTTCTCACTTAGCTCATTATCATGCGATGTGAGGGGTTATCGCTCACACTTGAGTTATAAGCAATCTCTCCCTCAAGTGTAAGTCCTATAATATGTCAACTTCCCCTCAAGCGAAAGGTTCTTCAAGTATCAATAAGGTTATCAATCATGAGTAGTCAAATATTGATTCAAAAAAAAAAAAAATCTTGATTCTACAACATAGATTTGACACAGGTTATAAACCTAAATATCAATCACCATTTATCTCCAAAAAACTTGGCCCAACTAACTACTTGACTAACAGGCTAACCAACCATTAGTTCTAATATCATTGTTACCGGCAAAAGGAAACCAAAATAGGGTAGAATGGCACAGCATGTGGAACTCGAGTATTTTGGTCATTATGTCTCACTTTAATTACGAATAGCTTTGATCACAACAAGTGAGACGCGAGTGAATATATAATTCACTTTATTAGTAATTAAACAAGGCATAATATTTATTTAAACGAACAAGGCTATGGAACTAGAGCGAGACATAATGACATCAAACACGCACCGAACTTGCTATGGATTTTTCCAAATCTATTGCGGAAGAGCAGGTTTGATACCTGCAGGTCAGGATGATTGCCAAATGAACTGTGTAATTCTTCTACCCTATTGCACAGTACTAAAAGTGATGTAAGAAGAGAATGATATCCAAATTTCATTTTTTCTTTTGGAACCTTACTGTGTGTTTAAATTAGATTATTTTGTGTTTAAAATATATTATAATCAAAATATTACCATCTGAATTTTTTTTTCCTAAAACTTAATTTAATCAAACATGCATATACTACTTTTGTAGTACTTTTTTTTTTGGTGAAAACTTTTGTAGTACTTTTACTTATATTAACGTTTGCATATACTCTTTTTATATTAACACCTCTCTCTCTCTCTCTCTATATATATATATATATATATAAAAGGGTTTACATTTCTGTAGCTGTTCAAATACTTGTCATATATATATATGAAAGCATTAAATGCGGGAAATCATAACCATACAAATTGTGAAAGCATTAAATATAGGAGAATCATAACCATACACCTGTCGTACGTAAAGTGACTGCAGAAATGATTTTACCTATATATATATATATATATATATATATATATATATATATATTTGTTCCCGAAAAAAAAAACTTCTCTTTTTTTGCAACTTTTAACTTATTTACTGGTCGGGTGAGAATCATTGGTGCGGAATTGCTAAGTAATCAGATCATAGTCGATAATGCAGCAATGCAGTGTTGTACACTTGTACCATGACGCCTAGGGTTTGGCTATATAAGGTCTTATATTCATTTGCATTTTGAATCATTCTTTAAATCAAAGGAAATGAATTTACTTGTTCGAATGTGTTAGTAGTTTTGGAGAATTTTTCAGATTACATAATTGTTCAAAACCACTATTCATAAAAAAACGTTTGTCATTTTAAATCATATAAAAAAAACGTTTGTCATTTTAAAGCATATAATTTTGTGTCATTTTATATCAAACGATGTCATTTTGGTACATAATTGTTGATTTTTTAATTCTCTCTCCTCAATTTTCTCTCTCTTCCTAATTTTATGGAGGAGAGAGAAAGTAAAAAATCACCAATTATACATCAAAATGATATCATTCATCTAAAATGACACAAAATTATATCATTTATAATGACAAACACTTTTTCCTTTCTCAACTTACGAAATCAGCAAGATTAAATATGGGATTATATATTCACCTATAAATATTAATAACATGCATTCTGATTTACTAAAGGGTTTTATAATTCTCATTTAATATGAGAATTGAAATTTTCCTACACACCCTTCAATTTCCGTGCTAACATGGGTCTTACATATAATTTTTTCTAACACATGGGTCCCACATGCTTTTTATCTCTACAATATAAGATTTCAATTCTTATTCAATATGAGAAATATAAAACCTTTTACTAAATGGATTATTTTCGTAACCGTTACCTTATCTAAACCAAACTCAAGAATCACCTCAGAATAAATGTCTTGATTAATTAGTAATAAATCCATATGTCAATACAAGAATGGACAATAGTTGGGAACTCAAACCTATAACACCAACACAGAAGGTTATTGAACTTCCCTCAGACCAGATATGATCAGCAAGTTCTATAGTGATGCCAATTAGCAAACATCTTACGATCATCTGCAAATTTCTTAACTAGACAAGCATGATTTCACAAACTCCAATCTCCTTCTCCCATGTGATGGAACAAAAATACTGCTATAACATTTCAATTTTTCAAACTGATAACGCTATTACTACAAACCTTCTGCATCCTTAAAGTCAATAAATAACTCTCACGAAACTAAGTGCGGACTACGAATAACAGAAGAACAAAATTCTCAAGCTCAATAACAGATCTAGTTTTTCTTTCGCAAGCATTTACTGTCCTATATAGTCACGCACATTTACAAAAACCTTGAGGGAACAAATTAGTAATGCACTGATGCCCATATCAACATTTAACAACAATCATAGCAATCAACACGATGCACATGAACACATATATTTTGAGATAGGAGATAAACGGTTAATAAATAAATCTAAGAGCATAGCGAGCACCTGGTGCTGGCGAAATCGTGGAGTTTACCAGTGCTGGAGAAAATCATAACTCCTACATCAGCATCGCACAGGATCGCAAGCTCCTTCGCCTTCTTCAGCAAACCACTCCTTCGCTTCGAGAACGTCACTTGCCTGCTCGTCAAATTGTCGATCCTTCTCACCACGATCTTCCCTCTCCCCATATATGCCAATCAAACCCTAACTCGATTCTTCCAAATCAGAAAAATCGCTACTACAAACAGATTAACGAGAAAATTTTCAATTTCTGGAGGAAATGCGAAGATCAAGAGAAAATTTTCAAGGAAAACTGTTGGATGAAGAGGAGAGAGAGAATCATCCATTTCTTTCTAGAGTACAGTTAGATGCAATATGCAAAAACAAGACGACAGAAAATGAAGAATAATAGTCGGATTAATTTTTCGAGAAAAAAAAAGAAAGACGAGAATCTAGAAAAAGAAAAATAAGGTGCGAAAATAAAGAAGAAGAAAAGAGTAAAGAGAAGAGAGCGTGCGCTTACTGGTGAAGGCTTTGATTATAAGAGACAACCGTACTGAATTCAGCTCCGCAAGAAGAAGTGCTAGCTATATAAGGAAAGTTTCTGAAACTGCTTTTTCTGGGAGAAACCACAAATAAGCGCGTGTAAAACCACTAGTGGTTTCCTCGATTGGGGCACGTGGCCCAGTCCCAATCAGGTTCTGAGTGAGTCAAGAGAGGCTATTGGGCTGTTATTCGATTTTAGAAAGTCGAGCCGTCCAGCTTATGCCACGTTGACACATGGAACTACGAATACCCATGCCGTAATGCATACCGTGCATGTCCTTTTTTTTTTTGGTGAATGGCGCTTCTTTTATATCGTCCACCTTATTCTAATTTTTTTAGGGTTTAGTGTTTTTAACAATGAAGGAAAAAACAAATAATCGTTAATATTTTATTTTTAAGATATTATTATTATTATTTAATACGATTATTAAAATTATTAACGTATATTGGTTTGAGTGGAAGGGATTCAAGAGTCTGTGAAACATATGGTTTATTTCATGAATTATATGTATGGAAGAAAAAAAAAAACTCGAGAGGTGTGGGGTGAGTCGATGACAGAGCCAACCTCCCAAAGAAAATTTAACTAGTATCAAACATTAAAACGTGAAAGATTATTTAGTCATGTTAAAAACGTGACTAATTTTTGAATTTTAGCTAGTGCCAATTGCTAAGACCTCTCACACCTAATATGGCTCCGCCACCAGGTGTATCCACTTGTACGCTATGTAAAGCCGAGCAAATTAATTTTTTACCTAACAATTAAGAAATACTCTAAAAAACTTTAAAAATATTACGTTTAGTTCCTTAACTCACGAACGAGAACAGTTTAAAAAAAACCCATTTTGTTCATATGGCATTAGAGCTATTGCTTTGTGGATTTTTTCTCTTTTTATTTTTAAGTAAATGGGGGGAGGGAGAATAGTCCCAAAAGCATGCTTTATGGTTCATATTACTTATTGGGAGTATGTTTCTTTCATCAAAACAAGAACCTCGCAAAAAGTTATTTAATATGTTTTTAGTTTTTAAAAAAATAGTTGTGTATATAAATTTTGAAAACTGATTTTAAGAATAGAAGAATGATAAGACTTGTTTGAATATTGTTAGATTTAAAATTATAAATAATAAAACTTGTTTGAATATAGTTAGGTGTAAAATTATAAAGAAGTTGTATTTGTTTACAAATTAAAATGCCATTATAATTACAAGATTGTTATTATAAAATAATTTAAAATTAAAAATAAGTTGAATTTATTTATGAAATTATCATTAATAAATCTTCATAATTACAAAATTACCATCACATAAATAATAAAATTAAAAAATAATTTTTGAGCATTTTTTTATTTTAAAAACTAAAAACTAGTTATGGTTTTGCAGTCATTTTTATAAAATAACTCTTTTCAAATAAGTTTTTTTTACTTTTTTATTTAAAAACTAAAAAACTATTTTTAGGAATAGAAATCAAACAAAAAAGCAGAAAAAAGATAAATGAATGATAGTGATAAGAAATTTGTAAATCTTGTGATATATTTTTTTGGGTGAATTACATTATTCTTTAAATTATTTCAACTCATTTTATATAACTCTTTATCAAAATAATTAAAAAAATTTGAATAATTTAAAAATTGAATTATATTAATTTAAAATTATTAAAAATAATTAAATATTAGTTTGTACAGTTATTTTAACTGGAGCACTCCACGATTATTAACGGAGCCTAAAAAACAAATTATGTATCCAGCACCGTCCTTTCTGCAAGGGTATGCGTGTCCAAAAAGTCGCTGAGCTCTCACCCTCTGCAGTACGATGTAGGAAGGGGAGCACGTGTCGCTATTTTACGAGGAGAATGAAAAATGAAAGTTCAAAAAAGAGAAAGGTTTGTATATTTTTGGTTTTTTTAAGGTTTCCAAATCAAGGAAAAGGTGACCATGCCTTTAGCGATTTTGGGGTTGGCAAAGGATTATAATTCTGTCTTTCTTGGTAAGAACCATTCAGGTATATTTGTTCTGATACTCTTTGTCTTCTTCTTTTTTTCTTTTTTAACTTAAGGGGGATTTGCGATAATGGATTCTTTTATGGGTGGTACGGATTATTTTATACAAGAGCCACTAACGTAAATTTTAGAAGAAACTCATAAAAAGTCTCACACGTAAAGAAGTAGAAAATGAATAGAGTGCATTGTAATATTTGAACTTATATACTCTCGTTACAAATGCAATAACTCTTCCCACTAAATTACCTCATCCCAACTTACTAAAAAAATAATTATATTACCTAATCCCTTTCAAAAAATAATCGTTTAAGATTTTCCATAATTGAAAAGTTCATTAAATATTATTAATTTCAAAAAAAATATAAATTCATTTAATTATATTACTCTCTTTTTTTTGGAAATAATAAGAAATTAAAACAAAAACACAACAAAAAGAAACTAGGCACAAAGCCTAGACCAGTGAACACCTATAGTGTCACCATACAGACTATCAATACAACCTGACGGTGGACAATCAAATTCCTGAATTACCCAAGAGAAACCATAAGAGTAAGAGGCTAGAAAGTCCGCTACTCTATTTCCTTCACGGTGAATGTGAGACATATAAATCTGCCAATCTCGCTGCATCAAATTTCGAATACGATTCACCAAATTAGCCGCAGGGTAATCGTGGTGGCACCCATTTGTAATGAGTTGTTGAGCTGAAAGAGAATCTCCTTCGAGCCAAACTTGCCTAAGACCTCTATCCCAAGCTAGCTCCAAACCAACCAAGCAAGCCCATAACTCAGCATGCAAAACTGTACCTGAGCCTAAATTTTTACAGAATCCGACGATCCAAGTTCCTGAGGCATCGCGAAAAACTCCTCCACACCCAGTCCTAATACCATTAGCATCACATGCACCATCAACATTAAGCTTAACCCAATCCACAGGAGGACAACACCAAGCAACCAATCTCTCTATTCGATTCCTTGGTTGATTGCCCGCTCCAAAAACAGGGTTAGCTGCAAGAGCGACACTATCTTTGAAACCAATTGTTGAACGGATAAGTGAATAAGCATTCTGGCGATCACCTTCAAAAACCCAAGAATTCCTACATTTCCAAATTTTCCAGGCTAAGATTCCAAATAAAAGAGGCCAGTCCGACCCCATCCCCCAATCCTTTGAGCTGTCTAAATTAGAAATGATCCAATTGTGCAGGTTGAGGTTGAAAAATTCACGCTGATTTATATGAGGCATTATCATGCACCATACTTCCTTTGATTGTGGACAGTCGCGAATAGTATGAAGGATAGTTTCACTAGACTGATTACATCTAGGACACATATCTGAAAGAGCCATATGACGGCAGAGTCTACAAACATTAGTCATCAGCTTCTCCCCTGCCATTAACCAAAGAAAAAAGTGAATTCTTTCTGGCCCCTGCCATCTCCAAACACTTTCCCAAGGAAACTGTTGGATTGTAGTATCTTTGATGGCTAATATTGCATATGCTGACTTAACAGTAAACTTGCCATCTGTCGTTCCATTCCAAATTAAATGATCCTGGCCATCTTGACTAGAAGGAGGAAGAAAATTCATAAATCGATGCAGCACAGAATCTGGAAGCAATTGTCGAAGAGAATTCCATTTCCATTGCCCCAATTCATCCACGTAGTCCACCACCTTCTGAAGAGTATCACTAATAGAAAACTGAGAACCTGCATATGAGATCAAAGGACCACAATCGGGAAGCCAGCTATCAAGCCAGAACATAGTGGACTGACCATTGCCTAACTGCACCCGACTATGATCCATTATAATATTCCAATGACGCGTAATTCCCTTCCAAAGCTGGGAGCTGCTGTTTGGAGCATGAATAATTGGTGTCATGCCTGCCTCCACATTGTACTTAGCACGTAAGAACTTTGACCACAAGGCATCTGGATGAGCTACGAGGTTGAACCCAACCTTCATGATAAATGCTGAGTTCATTTCCCTCATACTCCGCAGTCCAAGGCCTCCATTTTTTTTATCCATGCAAATCTGCTTCCAGGCCACAAGATGAGAACGTCTAGAGTGTGGAGATGAACCCCAAACAAAATTCCGAATCTTCCTATCAATCTCTTCACAGGTGACTTGCGGTAATGAACACACCTGCATTGGATATGATGGGATTGCTAATAACACTGCTTTAGATAATGTAACACGACCTGCTAGAGATAGACTGGCATGATTCCAAGCAGCAATTCTAGAATTCATTCGATCCAAAACATAAGAGAAAGATGACCGACCCACTCGCTTATGATGCAAAAGAATTCCCAAGTATCTTCCAAGATCCCCAGTCAAAGAAAAACCAAGAAGCCCACTAAGATGGTTTGCTTGAGTATGACCCACATTCTGAGAAAAGAAAACTCTAGTCTTACTATGATTGACTTTTTGACCAGATGAATCACAAAATATATGTAAGGCCTGTTGAATTATTAACACTTGCTCCTGAGAAGCTTCTGCAAACAAAAGGAGATCGTCAGCAAAAAATAAGTGGGAAATTTGTGGAGCTCCCCTTTTAATCCTCACTGGCTTCCACCTCCTGTGATCCACTGCCTGAGAAATGAGATGGGCTAGTCTTTCCATGCAGAGGACAAAAAGATAAGGAGAAAGAGGATCTCCTTGTCTTAAGCCTCTAGTTGGCCGAAATTCTTTAGTACAAGCCCCATTCCAAAGAACATTCATAGTGCAAGATGAAACACACAACATAATTAGTCTTATCAAATTTTCAGGAAGCCTTACATCATATAGGGTATCCTGAAGGAAATTCCAACTGATCCTATCGTATGCTTTCTCAAGATCAACCTTGATCGCCATCCAACCTTTAGATCCTCTCTTTTTCCTCATTGAATGGATTAGCTCTTGAGCAATTATGACATTATCCGTACCTTGTCTACCTCTGATAAAACTGCACTGATTAGGCATCACCAGCTTGTCCATCTGCAATTTTAAACGGTTAGCAACAATTTTTGTTACCGTTTTATAAATAACAT